ACAATTTGGCTCCAGGCTACCTGTTATATTGTGAGTAGCATTTCTCTGGCTATTGTCCCATGACTGCTTCCCAGATCAGAAACATTCCACTACACCACACTACACTCCTCATATCACCTCTACAGGAAAGAGAACATGAACGTGTTCCCATCATTCTTGACTATGTAACAGACTTAGTAGTGTTTCACAGATTTAAAAAAATTATCTGAATCATGAAGATGAACAACTTCTCAATCTGCATTACTACCCTGTCTGCACTACATTTTAACCAAGTTAAGAATTGGATTTCAGTGTTCTACAACAGTGAAGCACTGCTCAAACACAAAATACATTTTTTTCTGTATTAAATGTTAAATGTATTGTCCCATATAAGTGTGCTTTAAATATTTTGTGGCTGCGTAGAATCAGAACTATATTAAAAGCTTTCTGATTCCTCTTATTTTACTTAACGTCTCATTGGCACTTACTTTCCTTCCAGATCCTAAAGATGTAAATGGATAAAGAGATATACAGATAAAAAGCAAACTATCCATCTATATTCTTGCACTATTATAGTTCCTCGACATTTTCCTGATTTTGACTATGCTCTCTCCTAGTTACCCTCAGTTCAAACAGCTAATTTCTGAATGATGTAAAAATTTCGTATTGAAAATGAGAGATCAATCAAACTGAAACTCAGCGTTGGCACTGCATACTGCACACTACTTCTGGATATTTTCTTTTTTTTTTTTTTTTACCACTTTGGGTATAAGCTTCCATATCAGTTAGCCACATAAGAAACAACTATTGTTATAAAGTCTTAGGAAGCCCTACAGATCAATGTTCTGCACAGAGAGACAAGGAGATTTGGTGACGTTAACCAGTTAAAGGCCAAAGCCTTCTGTCCTTATACAAGTGCCTCTCCCAAGGAACTCCTCCTGAAGACTTCACAAACAAAATAAGTTGCTTCCAATCATCATAAAAGATCTGATAAAAGATTCACAGTCAAAATTAATTCTCCTTACACTGTTTTGCAAGATCAGGTAAGTCTTCATGTGTTTTGTTACAATTCATCTTGTATCTAGCCTGTTTTTACAACACAAATCGCAAGAATTATTGAAGTTAATCTGTACAGTTTATTGCCCAACTTTGCCTAAAATGGAACTGCAAATCAGCATGCACATTTCTCAGAGAACACAAAAGAGAGTGGCTTCCAGGCTCCAGTGAAACAAGAGGAGACTGTGAAGAAAATCTATTCAAAACATTTAAAAGAATATTTTGGATATTGTTCCTTGAACTGAACAGAATGGTAGAATACCAATGACTAAAATGTAATTCCCTACTATATTTCAGTTTACATCTCAGCATGAGTCACTCTTGAAGCAAAAATGGATAAATCACTTTCTCTATCTCTTTCTTTACAAAAATTATACATATTAGCGATAGTGGAAAAAAAAATTGTAAATGCATATTACTGATTGAAAGTGGCTGCATGAAATCTGCATGCAATTCAAAGACAAGTAACATATCAATTTTTTTTTCAATCCATAAATCTTAATTCTAGAAAAAACTCCCAAAGCATACATGGTATTACACGCTTTATTAAAAAAAAAAAAAAAAAAAGAAAAAAGAAAAATTAAAAAAGAGAACAAAGATATAAGGTATAAGGTTAAATTGTTAATACTACTGACTTTCTTTTTTTTTTTTTTTTTTTTTTTTTTTTTTAAAAATACTGAGTTTTCCACAGCTCTTAAGGAAAAGAGGCTTGGAAAACAAATGTTGAAATCTAACTAAGTATGTCGTTTACTTTAGGAAGGGCTTAAATAAAGCAAGTCCCATAGTTATAAAACATATCTGTGGTCACAAAAGGATTCTGACAGAAGCACAAATGTAAACTGTATCCTCATACAGCTGAGATGGCATTGGGCACCACAGCTGAGTGGTACTCGGAAAGAAAGCTGTATCAGACTGAAGGCAGAATCTTCTATAAAAATGAGAACTTAAAATGAATAATTACATTTCCTTCTGACATACTTGTGCAGAATTATTGTCTGCAATAACAAGAGCTATTTTCCACACTTTGAGAAAGGAACAGCAAGATGTTGGTCCTCTCATTAAGAATGTTCTGTTCTTCCATTGTTGTGACTATAAGCAGTGCTATTTATCAACTAATAGCCATGACAAATACTGGCATTGCTAGCCACATAAATAAAGCTGCAATCTTTTCCCTTTCTTTAGAGAATGTTATGGTGACTCTTTTTATAAATTTGGGTAAGACAAAGCGTGCAGAACATTCATGCCATGAGAATTCAGTGCTGAATTCAAATACTGCAATATGTTCAGCACCAGGTTTCTAAAAAGATATGAGAAACTAAAGTTCAAGAATTAAGGAGCAAAAAGCTGAATTTAAAACCAGAAGTATTTTCTACAATATAGTTTCATTATGCTTTTGGAGTGAGAGTCATAAAACTCAGAAAAAGAACAATGGTCAGGCTTTAAGCAGAGAATCTGAAGATTTTGGAGAGAAGGTGTTACGGCTTATAGTATATGCCATCTTCATGATATTCCTGAGAAATCTTCCACTCTCTGATTTTAATATCCAACAGATAAGTCTTGACAGCTCCATTTGGCATTTGGATATATATATTTACACAGTGCTTCAAAGAGATTGTCCCATAATCACCTTCTGGCTCAAAATCCCTAATACAAGCAGTGCTAAAGCATGTAGGCAATGCAGAAGAAATGCTCGTACTGGCTCAGAATGAACTTCCAATGAGACAAAGTATTCTGTCTACACTGGTGTCTCCAAACAGGTATTGATGGGAAAATGAGAAGGTGGCAAGCAAGTAAATTATTTTCCTATAATGTCCTTTTTCTATGCACCAAGAATTTAAATTAAACAAACAAACAAACAAACAAAAACTTTAAGAATTGTGTTTATATTTTTTTTCCCTTCACCTTTCAATATCTTAGTGAACTTTCATGAACTTGCTGCATCTCCTCTGGTATCCGCAGAAACTCCTAGTATTAATTCAGTTTTACATGCTCATTGTTAGTGAAACATTTCTGGGTTTACTTAAAACAAATATATATATATATATAATACTCTAGAAAGCATTCAGAGAAAACATGACTTCCCAACCTTAATCCCTTTCTGTGCACTTTCCACTCAGCAGCTATCTAAATCCACAAAGTGCTTTCCTAATGCCTACACAGTGCCCTCAGAATCCAGTTTTGCAGATGCTGACAATATCTCCACTCTGAGAATCTCCAAGGGAAAGGGAAAACAAACGAAACGCAGAGCAGAACAGCAGATATTCAGGTTTAGCTTGGTGTCCTGAACAAGTTACTATTTTTGTATTTTTCTCCCCGGGTTTTGAAATCAAACATGCAGTCAGTGTGGGAAGAAGCGCACCTGTAGCTCCCCACCAGACCTGAAGAATCCTTACACTTCTTTATGGCAGCACACAATCTTCTTGACACAATTGCAGTGGCTTGCTAAAACAAACCCCCCACTGCTTGAGATAGAGGGCTGAGTGTTTTCATGGTCAGGAAGGAATTAAGAAAGAAAGGCATCTACTTTTTGTGGTAAGAAAACAGGCCACAAGACTATTCTGTGAAAACAAGCTCAGTATCTGTCTTCTTCCTCCAAAAGGTTGACCTAAAATTTAGTACTTGCTCAGTGTTTTCAAAAAATGCCATAAAGTGTCTGTCTAAAATGAAACCTCCAAAACAGGGTGACAAATGTGCAAAATAACTTAATAACTAGCCACTGCAGAAACATCAGAAGTAGCACAAGGTTGTTTGATTCTGAAGTGGCAGGTTTTTGAACAGACGTTTGAAAGCACTTAACATCTTACAGAGCACCAAATACTCAGTTCAGAAACTGGGATTCTACCTCAGGAGGCAGATTTCTTGCCCTTTGTTTACTTTAGACTCCTGTATTATCTGGAAAATATTTACAGATTTTTTCCTTGCAAACAAACCAAAATATTTATAACCACATTTCAGTTCATTTATAAACAATAGGAATGGCAAATATAAATGAACTACATGATAACATTCAAAACCCAGACAAGCTATGTGGATGTCCCTCCAACTCATTAAACAAAACGTTTTAGTATTTTTATTTTTAATGAATGCCAGGTAAAGCTTGATAGGCTATCAATACACCTCGAGGAAAAATATTAAAAAAGTAATCTTGCAATAATGAGAATATTAAAATTTCAATTCTAATGATGTAATTATCAGTGGAGTAGTATCCCTTTGATGTAAACAGCTTTCTTGGTTTCTGCTACTGTACTTGAGACCTGAAATCAGCCAAATAACTTCACCAAGTTTACACAGAAAGCCTCTATACAAAACCATTTTTTCAGTTGCAGATATACTATGTTTTCTTTTCTCTCATAACAAATATTTTTTTACTAGTTTATTAACCAGATTTATCATGCTTAAATAGCTGTTCAGGAATGGCATTACTGACCAATCTAAAATAAGCTACAGTTGTATGTGCAGTCATTAAGATAGCCAGTTGTGTTTCAGTGGGTCAAAATACATTTCAGGAATCGTGTGTTGTTCGTGGCTTAGTGCAAATTGTAAAATGCCAACATTGGACCAGCAGATTGACCAACAGGAAACACTTGGACCATTAAAGAGAGGAGTTTTACTGCTGTCTTAAAATACAGAGCCATTACTTATGTTAAGCAGTCAAGGAACAAATTAACTACTGAACAGGACAGCTGTAATCTGAATGGTTAAATTAGATCTATCACATCATTCCTAGCTTGAAATTAGAACTAAACTAATATTACCTTCTATTACTTTTCTTCCTGTGTGCGTTTAGCTGTCCTGAGCTCCTTTTGCTGCATGCCCTTGAACCAAAGAACCTCAACATGGTTTTAAACAGCATCTAACACAAAATTAAAACCTGGATTCTTAAGCTTTAATAATCTTGTTAAAATTAAACCAATGGAAATCCAATTTCCCAAGTATTAAGATAGTGTTTACCAACATGTACTTACCTCCACGATCTCGTGCTGCTAAATTGTGTCCTCTTCTTAAAGTAATGTCCAGTTGGTACATTCCGGGATCCCCAGAGGGAAAATCTGCATTACTAGGTCCAACTGAACTTGTTTTCTGGAGGAGAAAAAAATACAATTGTTGATGTTACTAAAAGTTTCAGATAACGTTCATTTTTCCCTGGCAATATAATCTTGTTGAACTAAGACTAGGCTTTATATCATTCCCCCATCTTACAGCTAACAGAACCAGTGCCTGTCTTCAGCATGATAGAAATCCCCCAAATCCCTTTTTTGTCCTTGCGTTTGCAAAAGGATACTTTGTTATTTATATTTATTATGGCAACCGCACTTTTTAATTATGTTCATTTTCACTCCTGGTCTGCTAAGACAGGTTACTGCACTGCTTTGAAAATTCCAGAATGATGGAAGGAAATTGGTGAAGAATATCCTTGGTGAAAATTGAAAAATATCCTAGAGGCAATAAGCACAATTCAAACTCTTCATTTGCTATATAGGCTTTTTTTGCTCTGTTTGCCAGAGCAAAGATAGGATTCTCAGATTATTTTTATGAATTGTATCAAAAGAAATATAAAATTAAGGGAAGTCAGAAGGAAAGAAACCTCTCTGGACCACATGAATAGTAATTACATTGCTGTCCCCGTTGACAAAGGAGAGAAATTGTATTTCCTCCTACGTTTATAAATTTTTGGAGAACAGTTCTGAACACATCTCTCTGTAAGTTGCATCTAATTACCATTAATGTTTTGAACACTGCATTTAATTTTAAGGCTAAGATGGCTGTACGTATTATTCATTCACAGTACAGATAGAAGTTTCATATATCATACACACAGAGCATCACCACTACGTCCTATGATAGGACGTAAATCACAGAAGCATAGAAAAACTTAAGTTGGAAGGGACCTTAAAGATCATCTAGTTCCAGCATTCCTGCCATCTATATCAGGCTGCTCAGGATGTCGTCCAGCTTGATCCTGAACACTTCCAGGGACAGGGCATCTGCATATAGGGCAGCTTGTTTCAGCACCTCACCACTCTCTGAGTGAAAAATTTCTCCTTAACATCTAACCTAAATCTTTTAGTTTAAAGCCATTCCCCCTTACTCGTAATATCATTATCAGACAGTGTAAAAAGTCAATCCCTCTCCTGATTGTAAGCTCCTTTTATGTTTTGGAAGAGCACAATGAGGTGTCTTCAGAACCTTCTTCAAGCTGAACAAGCCCATCTTCCTCAATCTTTCTTTATAGGAAAGATGCTCAGCCCTCTGATCATCTTCATGGCCTCATCTGGACCTACTCCAACAGCTTTCCATCCTTCCTAAAGATGGGGCTCACAAAGGCAGAGCAGAGAGTGGACAATCCCCTCCCTCTCTCTGCTGCCACCCCTCCTCATATTAGGTACAGAAGAACTGTACCTAATATATTAACCTTTGCTGCAACATGCACAATGCTGGCCATACCAAACACTGAGACATATGCTCATGAGTTAGACACCAATGAAGATTTTGAAAACAAGTTCAGAGAAAATGGCTAGATGAGTTTTGATTTAGGGAAGGGGGTGTTGAAGATTTTCAAAGTTTATCTTCCAATTCTGTCCTTGTAAAGTAACTGCTGATGCATGCCTGAAACTATGAAAAGACCTTGTAAGACTATAGTAGAAGTCACCCACCACCCACACTTCTAAAGGATTAACTCCTCTCAGAAGTTCTCAACACAAGCAGATACAAGGTTGAAAATAATAATAAAAAAAAAACCAGTATTTCTACCTTGCCTTGGAAAGTTATGCAAGGGAGTGTCAAGGACCTTTTTCCAAGACAACAAGGAGTAATAAGCAAGACAGGCAGTGATGGGAGCCAAGTTGGTCAGTTACAGTAATCGATGAGAACATGTGAGAATGTAGAAATGTACCTGACCAAAATTTCTAAGAGGGAAGACAAGCACAAGAAACAGTCCTGCCTGTCACAATAATCAGTAGGCTAAAGAGTTACAGTCAGTTCTTCCAAGAAGGAATAAGCTTGCAGCTGGAAAGACAGTGAACCACAAGGGGCCCAAGCAACAGGGCAGGAGAAGCATGGGTCGGAGTCACAGAGCAGCAGGCCTCAAGTCTTGCTCTTTACCTTCCTCTGCACTCCTCTGTGATGCTTAGCCTCTAACAAGGACAGAAATAAGGAAAAAATTCATACTAGTCTGGCACTCAGTCTCATCCTGGCACTGGTGTTTATCAGAGTGTTATGTAAGATAAAAACTCAGCTCCAAAGTAAATCACCATCACTAATATTATCACTCCACTTTCTTGTCTGTCTGCAAGAACTTGCAGGTACAAAAGAAGAACTGCAATGTTTTCCAATATTAATAACCTCTTCTTCCAATCTTCCTTAGGGAGTCCCTTTGTCCCTCTTCCCTTTTTATGTTCTTTGTTCTAACACAAGCCCCGTGTTAAAATTAACATTAACATTTCCTCACTTCTATCTTTTTCACTCCTTTCCTATGCCTTTTTTTTAATTTTTTTTTTTTTTTTGGTGTCAAGCAGACCAGAAATGATTAGATAAGCAGTGTAATAATACTGCAGGACATAAAGAGCTGAATGAAATAAAAATGAAAAAGAAAACAAGTAAGTATTAAGAAGTCAAGCCAGTCTTCTCACATTAGACAAACAACATTTGAATTATGTAAGTAAAAGTTGAGGTTGCCATAATAAATCAAGCCTTCAATGAATCATTTTTTAACAACATTTCAAAATTTAACCATTAAAGTGGCAGCTAGTAAAACATAAAGGACTACTTTTGTGCATTCTGCTTTAATGAACTTAAGATTAAAAATGTTTCAACAAGACATTTGGAAACGTATCAAATCCTACAATTATCCCAAGCATGAGTTTCTAAACCAAATTTTCTTAACTTCTGCACTGCATGTACTGAGATCAAGGAAGTAGGTTCTTTGTAGCCATAGAAAGATTAATAAAGTTGTTGTGACCCACAACAACTGTGAGCTGTATATTAACGGATGATGACATGAAGCCTGACAAGGTATGAACAAGCCTTAACTTTTAGTTTCTAAATGCAACAAGGTGTTGAAAATGCTTTTATTATTTATTAAATCTTTGAGAAAAATGTTGAGATTCCAGACAAAGAGGCAATTAACTTCTGTTTCACATAAGTAAATCTTCTGTGAGATGGAATGCCTTGATACAACTGAATTCATTTTTAATAGCTGCCTGTTATCATCTTACTTTAGAATATTCTTTCTAGCTAAATTATGACTTAATTATCAGAGTCCCACAATTGCCCATAAAATCCAAATTAAATTGTTTTAAAGGAAATTTCTGATTTCACAGTGTAGGCAAACTTGTAGACAGAATTTTGATACTGATGGTAAAGATCCCCGCCATCCTGCAAACTCTCCATGTGGAAAGGCTGAGACAAAGTTCTCAATGACTACACAGTTTATCAATTGTGCTCTTCATTTAATAGATAGCATACAAGGTTCCCCTGGGTAGTTTTTTTACTGAACAGTTTCAGTAACACCATAATCTGCTTTCACTTTCAATAAGACATCCATGGTAAGATTTTCAACATGGTAAGAATCAACACATAAAAAGAATAAATCTGCAGCTACAACTCACTTCTGACTTAGAGCATGTCAAATGATGTTGTAACATACCTGGTGTACACATCATTTATACAAGCTGGACTGAATACACAGCTTACACTTGGCCACACTTTAATAACTCCTGTGAGTGGCACTCCTTCATTGAGTATCTGTTTTCTTATTTCTCTATTTGTAGATGCAGCAGTCTAACAACCAAACAATATATTTTTTTAAATAGATGAGCACATGTTAAGCATGTAAAAGAACTGCAAACTAGTTACATGTTGATAGCTGCACCACTAGGGAAAGGAAAAGCCATCTTATATTGTGGTAAATACATTACTACCCATGTATGAAGTATTGCACCTCAATGTATAAACAGAATGATGCTGCTTTGATGGGCTAAAATTGCCACCATTCCTGCACCATATCATTTTTCACAGCTTATTAAAAAACACCAGAACAAAAAGCACAGCGAATCTGATTATCATCTCTATGGCATTATCAAAGTTAGGAGTATATCTTCTGAAGTCACATTACCATTTAACAGCATAAAGCACAACACTAATTTTTAGGTTAATACATGCAGGTGTCCCCAGCTGACAGCCTAGAGATTACTACCATCTCTGCCACTGCAAACCATGCATTGCCTTTTTCTGACACCATAAATACTGACATTCTTCTTCAGAATTATTACTAATGATTAACCACCTACACAAACCCAGTAAATTAACAGTGCTCCTGCAATCTAAATCTGTAAATTAGCAATCTAAATCTGTAAATTAGCAAGACTTAACTCCAGATATTCAGAGGTTATAAGAGATTTAAGGAACTCTCCACTGAAGAAACAGAGTAGCACTTCAGAGGAACAGATCTTAAAATTTGATTTGTTTTTCTTTTTGTTTAGCGCCAAAACTAAAATATTCAACAAGTATTAAAAAAGAAAAACTACAGCTGTAATATACCCCAGCATCTCCTTTCAGAAGGAGCCCAAATCTAGTACATCCCTATAAATAAAACATCTGCTTGTAAAGTAAAGAAATTTTAAACTTCTGAATATCCAAATACCTGTCAATTTAGGCAATTAATGAGAACTGATTGTGCTTCAAAAGTTATGAAAATGAAGTGATAAGCAATTTTCAATATTCCTGAAAATATTTGCCTGCTTTAGACTTCTTATGTTCATCATCATACCTCGTTCATCATACCTAAGCAACAGTTTTTATTCTAGTGTTCCAAGTGATAGCAACAAACAGCAACTGAGGAATGTGAAAGAGAAAAGAGCTACACACGCTGTTTCATCTCATTCAATCTACTTCCTCAATAACGAGGCTGGATTAAAATTTCAACTTATGAAATACCAAAATGAAAGGACATACTGTAATTTTAAATCAGAAGTGCACAGAAACTGATAGAATCTTGTATATGCTAGTAATGTGGGTTTTGATTAACATACATGCTTCAGACAGGAGTGGCTACTTTTTTAGTTTGTCATACTCATATCTAC